TAACTGTCAAATTAGTAATCCATCAATTTATCAAAATTCACTTCAATAAATCAGAGGGCTGTTATTTAAATGAATCAATGCACCAATTGACCAGTACAAAAAAAATCCTAGACTGTATTAATTATCCTTATTCAGGAATCATAGTAACATAGAAAGTAGAAAAAGTGGGCGATTTGGCCCTTTCAGCCTGCTCCGCCATTCAATATAATTATGGCTGATCGTCTAACTCAGTTCCCACTTTTTCACCACACCCTTAGCCTTACAAACTATATCCACCTCCATCTTGAAAACATTCAATGCTTTTTCCCCACGCTAACTGCTCTCTGGATGATGAAATTTCTCTTCATCTCAGTCCTAAATGGCCTACCACATGGCCTGAGACAGTCAGAGAATATCCTTCCTGTGTTCATCCTGTTTAGTCTGATTAGAATTTGATAGGTTTCTATGAGATCACCCAACCCCCACCTGCCCCCACTTCTAAACCCCAGTGATTATACTCTGAAGCGACCTATTCTTTATCCATACTGCATTCTGCCATCCCAGGAATCAGTCTGGTAAACTTTCCTTGACCTCCCTCTATAGCCAGAATATCCTTCCTCAGATAAAAGGAGACCAAAACTGCACACAATACTTCCAGGTATGGTCTCACTAAGGCCCTGTACAAAAGCAAGACATTCGTGCTTCTGTACTCAAATTCTCTCACTATGAAGGCCAACATAACATTTGCCTTCTGTTGCCTGCTGCACCTGCATGCTTACTTTTAGTGACTGGTATAAAAAGGACACTTAGGTCTTGTTGCAGCTTCCTCTTTCCCAATTAATCACCACTCATATAAAAATCAGTTAAAATAATCATATGGTCGAGTGTTATTTTAACACAGTAATATAGCACTAAATGAATGCAAAAATGCATTTTGTCAAATTTATTTGCAATTTCATTGCAAAATGAATATTATAAATTATTTGGACACCCATAAGCACATGATTGCCCAATTCTATTTCATCTGCTCTATGGAAAAACTGATTCTTCAACAGATATTTCACTGAATCAAATCCAAGTTAACAGATTGGATGTTCTAGCATCTATCAAACTTGTATTCCATCTGTAACAGCTCCTTTATATCACCAATGTTGAATCTGGCAGCTTAGATACATTACAAAAATACCCAGTACTACAACTCTCACTACACTAGCCAACTAGACAAAGCTTTATTCCAACTTTTCTAAAAATATGCAATTTTTGAGCAAAGGCATCCAAACAGTAACTTAATAAAACGCATCTTGTCACCAGCTAATTGATACATTGCAACAATGTAAGACTTATGGTATTAAAACTGAGATGAAGTAGTACTCACGAGCCAATTAATAATGGTTGTATATAAGTGAAGACTATTTATCTAACAATCTCTTGGAAGAGAGTTTCCGGAGAATGTCTCTATCCTCCCATTCCCAATTGCCCAGGTTTCTGTTTGCTCCACTTGCAACTGCTATTCACTTCTCTTCTGTGCTTTTACTTCTACTCCAGCCTGTGATTCAGCACTGTTTCCTTTTGTTGTTTCTCAGTGAGTCATAGAGTCAGAGTGATAGGGCAGGAGTTTCTGGATGGTGGAATTTCCTGTCCCATTACTTCACAGAGTTGTTGGGTAACAATCAGAGCAGCCCCACAGCCTTTTGACATTCCAAACAGCATTAATTGAAGGAAACAGAACTTCATTCCTTTGCTCAGATCAAATACCACCTCCGAAAGCTGACAGCTGTGTTGTTCTGGCAGCGCTAATAGTGGCTAGAACTGGGATCACAAGCAATCCCCAGATTCTAAGTTAACAAGGTGTAGAGCTGGATAAACACAGTAGGCCAAGCAGCATCACAGCAGCAGGAAAGCTGACGATCCAGCTCTACACCTTGTTATCTCAGATTCTCCAGCATCTGCAGTTCCTACTACCCCAGATTCTATGTCTCTGATTTCAGGAAGAAGCACATGCTGGGAAGAGGAAATTAGGCCCTGGGGTTGACATAAATTTACCCACCAAGTCCATGCGGGCTTTCTGTAGGGCTCTAGTGCTGCGGCAGTCTCAGCTTTGAGAAACGCCAACAAATGCTACTGTACTGCAGATAAAGAAAGGGATAAGATATTCTTTTAATCCGAGTCCTGACAGCTACCAGTGAAAGGAACCAGGGCAAAGAATTTTCAATTGTCCTGTTGAGACAAAAATCTGAAAATCTACTTTACAATTACAGTATGAATCCTACTGGTAACAAGTACCGTGACGTTTGTAATGTTCTTCCATCTGCACTTCACAAACAACTCAACAGAGTGACACATAACACTGACTTCCAACAACCACAACCATCTTCCTTTGTGCCAGGTATGACACTAACCAGTTATGGCTGAACCAAGGTTTTAATGAGGTCAGAGGCTGAATGGCAGTTGAAGAATGCAAACCGGGCATTACTGAGCAAGTTATCACTAAGTAATTGCTGCCTCACTGACCTGCTGATGATCCCTTCCCATCACTTTGCTGATGATTGAGAAGAAACTAATGGGATGGCAACTATCCGGGCTGGTTTTGTCCTTTTTTTTGTGTACAGGCCATACCTGGGCAATTTTCCATATCGTCAGCTAGTTGCTAGTGTTGTAGCTGTTCTGGAACAGCTTAGTTAAGGGTGTGGCAAGTACTTAGATCACATCTTCAGTACAATGAAGTTCTGACAAAAGGTCACAGGACTTGAAACATTAACCCTGTTTTTCTCTACTGATGCAACCAATCCTGCAACATTTCTCTGTCATTTTCTGTTTTTGTTTCAGATTTCCAGCATCTGGTTCTTTGTTCTTATTTCTTCAGTACTATTGCGGGAACGTTGTCAGGGCCAATAGCCTTTGCAGTATCCGTTGCTAAAGATTGCCTAGAATGTTTCAGCCGTATGTTTTGACTGATGTGCTGGGCTCCCTCATTATTGAAGATGGAAATAATTGTGGTGCCTCTCCCTCCAGTGAGTTGTTTAATTGTCCACCATAATTTATGACTTGATGTGGCAAGGCTGCAGAGTTTACATGTGATTAACTGCACAACCAACCACTCAGCTGTTTGGCATGCAAGTAGCCCGATTTTGTAGCTCCACAGGTTGACACCACATTTTTAAGTATACTTGATGCTGCTCCTGGCATGCTCTCCTGCACTCTTCATTGAACTGGGGTTGATCCCTTGGCTTGATGGTAATGGTTGAGTGGGGACATGCCAGTATGAGATTGCAGCTTGTGCTGGAGTATGACTCATGTTGCTGTTAGTGCCCTGTCTTGAGCTGTTAAATTTGTTCGATATCTGTCCCATTTAGCACTGTGGCAGGATCACACAAAACGACAAAAGGTACTTCCAATGTGAAGGTGGCACTGTCTCCCCACAGGGCCGCGCGGTGGTCATTCTTACTGATACTGTCATGGACAGATGCAGCTGCAGCTGGCAGATTGGTAAGGATGAGGTCAAGTATGTTTTTCTCTCTTGTTGGTTCCCTCAACACCTGACGCAGACCCAGTCTAGCAGCTTTGTCCTTTAGAACCTGACCAGCTTGATCAGTGGTACTGCTGCTGAGCCACACTTGGTGGCGGACATTTCCAGAGACTGAGGCTCTTCGAATGATATTTCCTGGGGTCCCATTCCTGCCTCACCTGCAGTCACACCTTCCTGTCCTTGATCACAAACCAAATTTGAATTATATAATCTGAGGATTATATAATCTGAGGATTTGCTAGAGCAAAGTGTCGACGAGACATTTCCTATCACTGATGTGGTGCAATGTTTGGAGCGCAGACTCCAGTCCTCAACGAGATCTGAAGTTCCCTGAGCTGCAAACACTTGCTATAGATATGTGGATCACCTTGTTAAACAGCAGGACATCAGCAGCTGCTGCAGCAACATGTCACCCTTCCTGCCATCACTAACATTCATACATTTCTTACGTTAAAGCATTAATTGTTTGCTTAATGGCTCTTCAATTATTGCCATTCCTAAAACAGTTTATGTCAAATGATATTACTCTAATGTGTTTTCAACCACTTCTTGCAGCTACTGGTAAACTATTAAGGACCACCCTTAAATGAAAGCAGCACCTGGATGATATTTTAAAACGAAGACACACACAAATATAACTACAAACATCATCACAGCATGATCTGATTAGTCCACAAATGCTGACATAATTTTGATCAGGTGGGTTAACAGTTATTATTACATAGCACCGAATTTAGTATCCATATGCTCAATGTCTGATTGCAAAGCACTGTTTTATTGGTTTTCTATTCTGATTTGATTTCTCCTTACTCAATTTTATTTCTAAAACATCAGGCATTTCATTTGTGTACTTAAAGTTTCCAAGTTCAACTAAAGAAGAATTTAAATGCAACATGTAACAGAAAAGCTGGTACAGATAAATCATTTGAATGAGTAGCACAATATTAAATGATGTGAAGGTAAAATGCTATCAAATGGTTTTTAAACAGCTGCAGAGAGAAGCTGGGAGAAATTGACTTATTCTACTCGTTTCGAGATCTGTCCTGTAAACTCAACCACACATCAGTTGCTGACTGTGGTTTTGGTCATATCCAGCTGGCTGCCTGAAAATACCATCTTCTCAAAAGCATGAGCAATAAATGCTGACCTTGCCAATAAAATCCACATCCCAAGAATGTATTAAGCTAAAGTTACAAATTTTACTTTTGTAGTTAATTCATTCAAAAGATAATCAAGGTTCAATTTTTCAATAAGGGCTCTCCTTAAAGGCAATTCAGTGATTCATCTTTGAACATTTGTACAGTTTAAGATGATCTAACTCTAACATTTCCTAATTTTACTTTGCTCCCATGATTCATACTGAAACTCCCAATAATGATCAACTGAGATCTTGTTTTAGGTTTCATTGTAACAATGTCATGTAATGCATGATCAAAACTAGATCACTATTCCACATCAGAAAATAATAAAAAGCTAAAGTCTGCACCATACTAACCTTTCTGATATTGATGGACAGTCGGTTGAATGCAAAATTGCCATAAAATTCAAAGAATTCTTGCAGAAGTTCCTCTGTTGAGAAATCCAAACTGAAAATTACTTAATTTATAAACCAGAATTGCAAGTCACTTCACAAAAATATCCCTGTTTAGTTCATCTGCCGCTTCCATATTTCCCATCATCAATTTTTCAGTTTCACTTTCTATAGGGCAAATGCTTATTTTGTTAAATCTTCTTTAAATATTTATAGACAGTCTTGTGATCTGATTCATACTTCTAGCATGCGTTCTCTTTTCCCCTTATGTTTTCAGTCATTTTTTGCTTGTTTTTATATTCTGTTCAATTTTCTGACCTGCCTTTCATTCTTTTAAACAAAAACTAGGAAAAGGATTAGGCAAGTCCACCCCATGAGCATGCTCTGCCATTTAATTTGAACGTGGCTGATCCCATCTTGGCCTCAACTCCACTTTCTTGCCCACTCTCCATAATGCTTCAATCCACTAATAGTTAAAAATCTACCTCCTTCTTAAGTTTACTCAATGTCCTAGCATCCACTACACTCTGGGGTAGTGAATTCCGCAAATTCACAATCCGTTGAAAGAAGTCACTTCTCCTCACCTGTGCTACTCCCATCCTAAAAATATGACCTCTCATTCTAGATTGCCTCTCAGAAGGAAACATTGTCACTTATGTCTATATTGCTAAACCCCTTTAGCATTTTCTATACCTCAATTAGATCTCCTCTCATTCTTGTAAGATCCATTGAGTATAGACCTAAGCTGCTCAAACTCGCTTCATAACAAAAATCCCTCATCACTGCAATCAATTTGGTGAACCTTCTCCAGTGCAACTACATCCCTCCTCAAGTAAGGGGACCAAAATTGTATGCCATACTCACTAATGCCTTGTACAGTTGTGGCAACACATCTGTACTTTTATAATCTATTCCTTTAGCAATAAATGCCAGAATTCCATTTGCCATCCTTTTTAGCTGCTGTACCTGAATACTAGTTTTGTGTTTATGCATGAGGACACCCAGATCCCTATGCACTGAAGCACTCTGAAGTTTCCCTCCATTTAGCTAAGTTGCTGTTCTATTCTTCTGACCAAAATGGATAAGCTTACATGTCCACTTTAAACTTCATCTGCAGAATTTTGGACCACTCATCTAACCTATCTATATCCATTTGTAAATTTCTCAATTCTTCATTGCAATTTACTTTCCCATCTATTTTAGGCTCATCTGCAAATTTGGCTATAGTACATGTCATCCCTGCAAACAGTCATTCCTAAGTATCTTGCATTCTTCAAGATTCAGTTCTTAACCCATGAGATCCTGCAACTACAACTCTGCAATGGCTACCAGATCATATTTATGAATTTCTTTTTGTGCTGTCAGTTCATCTGTTTTATTCCAAATGCTATGTGCATTTAGATATGGCATCTTCAGTTTTATTCTGTTACTTGCTTTGTAAATTCTAGTCCTCTTCGATTCATATTCTCTATCCCTTCCTGTCATTGTCATTTCTGGTATTAATTAACATTCTCTTTGGCCATGACTCTACTCTTTGACTTAACACACCTTCCCCAATTTGATCACTGTCCTCATAATTCAACACCCTCTCTACTTCCCTATCTATATGGCTGGCAAGAACATTGGCTCCAGCACTGTTCAGATAGGGATCCCACCTTTTTTTTTTTTAAAAGACTGTCTCGTGGCATCTGGGCATCATTGACTGGCTAGCATTTATTGCTCATCCCTAGTTGCCCTTGAGAAGATGGTTGGTGAGCTGCCTTCTTGAACTGCTGCAGACCACGTTTTGTACGTAGAACCACAATGCCGTTAAGAGTGGGAATTCCAGATTTTAATCCAGCAATAATGAAGGAACAATGATATATCCCCAAATCAGGATGGTGAGTGGCTTGGAGGGGAACTTGCAGGTGGTTGTGTTCCCATGTACTTATTGCCCTTGACCTTCCAGATGGAAGTGGTCGTAGGTTTGGAAGGTGCTGTCTAAGGATCTTGGGCAAATTTCCGCAGTGCATCTTGTAGATCATACATACTGTTGTTACTGATCGTCGGTGGTGGGGACAGTGGATGCTTGTGGTGTCAATTGAGTGGGTTGCCTTGCCTGAATGGTGTCAAGCTTCTTGTATGTTGTTTTTTACCTAGCTTCTGATTTATTCTTGTATTTATGTGGCTAATCCATTTGAGGTTCTGGTCAATAGCTGTTAATAGTGGGGGATTCAGTTATGGTAATGTGACTGAATGTTATGGGGTGGCGGTTAGATTATATTGACCTAGTAATTACCTGGCATGTGTGACATGAATGTTGCTGTACTTGCCATTTGTCAGCCCAAAACTGACTATTGTCCAAGTCTTGCTGCATTTGGATATGGACGTCTTCCGTATCCGAGGAGTCGTGAATGGGGTTGAACATTGCTCAATCATCAGCAAACACCCCCCCTTTGATCTTATGATTGTGGAAAGGTTACTGATGAAGCAACTGAAGGTTGTTGAGCTTAGGACATGACCCTGAGGAACATGTGCAGAAATGTCCTGGAGCTGAGATGACTGACTTCCAACAACCACAACCATCTTCCTATGTGCGAGGTATGACTCCAGCCACTGGAGATTTTACACTTCTCCACCCCCACCACAATTCCCACTGATTCCAGTTTTGCTAGGGCTCCTGGATGCCACACACTGTTGAATGTGGTCTTGATGTCAAGGGCTGTCACTCTCACCTCACTTCTGGAATTCAGCTCTTTTGTCCATGTTTGAACAATGGCTATAATATGGTCACGAACTGCATGGGCCTGGCGGAACCCAAACTGGATCAGTGAGTGGGCTGTTGCTAAGCAGGTGCTGCTTTATAACACTGCTGTTGACACCTTCCATCACTTTGTTGATGATTGAGAGTAGCTTGATGGGGTGGTAATTGGCAGGATTAGATTCTTCCTGGTTTTTGTAATCAGGACGTACCTGGGCCATTCTCCACATTTTTGGGTAGCTGCCAGTGTTGTAACTGTACCAGAACAGCTTAGATAGGGATCTGGCAAATTCCCTGAGCACAAGTCTTCAGTACTATTGACAGAATGTTGTCAGGGTCCATAGCCTTTGCAGTACCCAGTGCCTCCAAACATTTGTTGATATCACATCAAGTGAACCAAATTGACTGAAGTCTGGCATCTGTGATGCTAGGGACCTATACAGGAGGCCTGAGATTGGTCATCTACTCAGCGCTTCTGGCTGAAGATTGTTTCGAATGCTACAGCCTCATCTGTTGCACTGATGTGCTAAAGACAAGGTTGAAGCATTCATAACAAACATGCCCCAATATTAGTGTCAGTCCCATGAATCAGAACCCACTTCTACCACATCAGTCTTTGAGCCCTGCATTCATCTCACTAGGCTGATTTTCCCCATGCCAATTTGAGGTGGCTTATGTAATAATGTAAAATCAGAACTGAGGAAGGGTCACCGGACCCGAAACATTAACTCTGATTTTTTTCTTCACAGATGCTGCCAGACCTGCTGAGCTTTTCTGGCAACTTTGTCTTTGACCCAAACCAAAGAGATGTGACTGCCTCCGATACAGGGAATCCAGGTAATGCTCTCCCTCCTTGATGTATTGGTGTCTGTAGTTCAGCCTTCAGCTCATATACCCAGCTGATGATGCTCGAGTTCAACTGCTGCTGCAGATGTGTTTGTTTTGGACTAAACTGGCGTCCAGGAACTCTCACATACTGCAGCTGTGGTACATCGGTTGCCCTCCATCCTTAATATGCTCTCAGAAATTACTTATGAAATTTTATATTTAGTTATATTTTCATATTTTATTACTCTTACCACTATTCGCTACATTATTCTGAATCTTTGCCACTTGCTATATACTCACCTGATAACCAGCTTCTTCTTCTACAGTAGATAAGAATCAATTCCTGAGGTTGAAGGAAAAAGTTTAAGAAAAACAAAACACTACTACTTTTCTTCCTGCCCTTCATTCACTTAACCCTGGCACTCTGTCACAAGATGCTTTCAAGTCATATGGTAATTTTAAATCTTCTTGCTTACCCAGAGTTTGTGTATTTTGGGATGGCTTTATTTTGTTATTAGAAACAAACGTGCAGTCATGACTCTCAATGATACATTCATCTTCTGCTTCTGGAAAAGAACAGTGTCATTATCACACTTAAGCAGAAGGCAGGGAAACATGATTACGATCAGCAACTCCAGCTAAAGTTCTTTATTGGCATAGATACAGTGGGCTGAATGGCCTCCTGGGCAGTAAATTCTACAATTCCTCAAGATCCTTGCATAATAATAGATGAGCAATGGATCAGCTCTGGAAGGCAGCAGGTGAGCTGGGAAGTCAGGGACAGAATGAAATTCAGTTATGGTGAAAAACAAGATACTGCAAATGCTATAAGTCTGCAATAAAAAAAATGCTGGTGTTACTCAGCAGGTCAAGCAGCATGTACAGACAGAGCAGAGTTAAAGTTACTGAGCAAGTCAAGCAACATCTGTTGAAAAAAACAGAGTTAACATCATCAGAAGGGTCAGCAAACCTAAAACTTTACCTCTGCTTCCCTCCACAGATGCCGCTCAACCTGAATAACTCTGGCATTTTTGGTTTATATCGTAGTTATGGTCATCCTTATTCCTTAAATATTGATGATTGTATAGAAAAATAGATAATTTTATAAACTTAGCAATTTGGGTGTTTAAAATTTTGGGCTCTTACCCCTTTAATAATAGCATGGATAATACATCCTTACTTCTCTCAACAGGACATGATTGGAAACAGTCTCACAGTATGATCAAACCTCCTTCATTTCAGCCGCGTTACCATGGTCTATGAGAAACATTAAACTGTGAAATAATAGAAGGTAGGAGCATAATGAAACAGATTAAGCAAAGGCAGATTTGCAAAGTCTGCATAAAATACATTTCCAACAGTGACTTGGAGTACCACCAAGCTATTCGTTTATGACATTTTCTCCTTTTAGTCCAAGAATCTAATTGTAGCACTCGTAAAGCCACCTCTTCTGATGTTTGCACATTCATCATACACCTGAAAACTCTTCTAGATAAAAAAAATTGTCACACCACGTTTTATTCTCAAAGCTGCTGCAAGTCCAAGAACATTGTAAGATTGTGCTTCTTCTGCAGAATTTTCAGGACTCTTAACTTCACAATGAACACAAAGTGTCCCATCTTTCAAAACTACAAGGTAGGAATTTGATCCTCATTTCTTATATCTTGCAGTTACATTCTTGATCACCTACATCTTTCTAGGAATAAAACTACTTTGGCTGCACTGCTATGGAATATCCCTGAAAGATTGTCCCCTTCAAAACATACAAGATTCTGAGGGGGCTCGACAGCGGGTAGATATTGAGGAGATGTTTTCATTTCTGAGAGAATCTCAAGCTATGGAATATATCACAGAATAAAGGGACATGCATTTAAAATGGAGATACAAAGGAATTTCTTTTCCCAGAGGGTAGTGAATATCTGGAATTCTCTACCCCAGAGAGTTGTAGAGGCTAAATCATTTATTTATTTAGAGGTAGATAGATTTTTGAATTATCAGGAAGTTGACAGCAATGCTGGGCTATCAAGATTGAGGAGTTGAAGCCTTGGGCAGATCAGCCATGATCTTGTTGAATGACGACGCAAGCTTGAGTGGTTGAACGGATTGCTCCTGTTCCTACTTCCTGTGCTCTTATTTTCTTATATGTTAAATTTTAGCAGCACTTTTTTTGTAAAGGAAATTAAGCTTCCCTGAGAGTCTTCCCTCCCCAACTATCATGACGTCTGATTTTTGGGAAAACAAACAAAACCGCATATAACTACAACAGAAAGATTCTCCAACGTGCCATCAAATTCTCGCATAAACCTGGTTTATGCTGTCTACTCATAAAATGACTGCCTTGAATAATAATCTTGACTGCAGTAACTGCATGTTATTTATTGTAGATAAATGTAACTTCATGGTAATGTGCATCCTCAGCGGGTGCACTTAGGATTACAGATAAATTTCCAGCTAATACTTTGGATATTTTCCTGGAGTTATATAACCAAATACAGTTCTTCATCTACACTTGGAACAGACATACTGCCTTAATTCTAGAAACAGAGGGCATATGGAATGAGGTCAGAAAAAAGATTAGCTCATCCTAGTCATTACACTAATTACCCAGCTTATATCAGATTCAGCATAAAAGAAAATATTTTGCAGAAAATAAGACAGTAATGGATCATAGTTACTTAATAAACTCCAAAAATCTAAACATGAAGATAAAGATATAAAATAGTGAAGTTCTCATTTTATTTTAGATTCTCTCACAACTATGTAAAGAAAGAAAAAATGACAAACAATTCCTATTCTATTTGGTTTTATGTAAATGGAAACTGAATACGAAGTTGAATCAATTAAAAAAGCACACAGATTTCTGTTAATATATGGAGGGGGAGGATAGTGATTTTTAAAGCACTTACTGCTTAAATGGCCACAAAGAGGATAGTGCAGAACTTTAAAAGGACACAGACAGGAAGGCAGAATGGGCAATGTGTAATTTAATTCAGAATACAGTGAAGTGATTCATTTTATTAGGAAGAACATTAGGAAGAATATCAAATTTAATGTTCAATTTCAAAGGTGTAGGAGCAGAAGACCCTGGGTATAGATGTGCATGAATCATTTAAAGTAGGACAGGTTGTGACAGCAGTTAAAACAGGGTACTATACATTTTAGGATCAAAAAGGCATAATGTCCAAAAACTGGCAAGTTAAATCTGTATAAACACTAGCTCAGCCTCAACTAGAGTGTCCTGCCCAATTCTGAGCACCATTCATCAGAATGGAAGTGAAGGCCTTAGAGGGGGTGCAGAAAAAATTTACAGGAATGGTTTAAGAAAGGAGGGACTTAGTTCTGTAGATAGAATGGAAAAGTTGGAACTATTGTCCTTGGAGAAGAGAAGTTGCAGGACAGATTTGATGCAGGTATTCAAAATCATCAGGGATTTGTACAGAGTAGGGGGGGAAACTGTGCCCATTGGTACAAACACCTAGAATCAGAAGGACACAGTGGCTACATGATGAAAATTACACAGTGAAGTCTTAGGATCTGGCATTCAATGCCTGGTGGAGTGTGGTGGAGGCAGGATCAATTGAGGTTTTCAAAAGAAAATTAGACTTATCTGAAAAGAAAGTAAAAAAGCTATGGGCAAAAGGAATTAGAGTACCACCATCTGATTTGCTCCTTCAGAATACCAGCTCTGGCGAGCTGAACAATTCTGTTCAAAAGAGCCATTACTGATGTCAATGTAAATCAGCAAAGTGGTGTACGTAATTAAAGGCTAATGATAACGTTCCCTAACAAAGTCTGTGAGCTTTATTTACTGATTTGGATTTTGAAAGTCAAGGAGTCACTAACGGCACAGAAGGAATCGACTCAGTCCATCAAGTCCATGGCAGCACCCTGCGGAGCAGTCCAGTCAGTTTCACCACCTGCTTCATTTCTGTCTCCTGACAGTTTATTTCTTTCTTAAGTGCCCATCTAATTTCCTTTTGAAATATAGATGATTGTTTGTGCATCCACCACCATCATAGACAGCAAGTTCGAGGTCATTACCACTCGCTGTGCAGAAAGATTCTGCCTTACTTCCCTCTTGCATCTCTTCACCAAATCTTAGGCCTGTGTCTCCGAATCACTGTACAATCATAAAATGAGAAGAGTGTTTCCGGTCTACCTTACTTAAACCAATTAACCTTGTTCACTTCTCCCAAATCTCCTGTTAATCTCCTTTGCTCCAAGGACAGCAACTGCAGCCTTTCCAATCTAAGCTTGTAACAACAATACCCAAAACCTGAATCCATTCTAGCAAATCTTTTCTGAAATGTGTCAAGGACTGGTACCTCTTTCCTAAACAGTGATAGTCAGAACTGGATGCAATATACCATGTGGGAATTGACCAGAGTTTTATGAACATCTGTCATAATTTCCTTGCTTGCTTTTGTACTCAAAATCTCTGTTTATGAAGTTCAAGATCTGATATGCTTTGCTAACAACTTTCACAAAAAGGTCCTGCCACCTTCACAGATTGATGCATATTCACCCAGGTTTCTTTGATCAGCATACATTCTTTTACTGTCTACATTGCTGCTTCTGATCTCTTCTGAGAAAATGCACTTCTTCATAATTATCTGTATTTCATTCCTTAACTTCCTTGCTGTACCATTAAAAATTTTAAGAAAAATTAACAGGAGGACCCTGTCACATTCACATCCTCTTTCAGAGCAAACCTCAACTTATCTCCTTCCCCAGACTGTGCTTATATCACCCCTGTACACATAAATATCACATAAAGGTCCAGAAAACCTGGTTGAGCACCCCATGTTCCATCACCAATTCCGCTGAACTCAGGGACTGCCGAAAGGTTTGTTAAGTTCCTGTTTATTCTGGTTTCAAGGGTTATGTCATCCTCTTCCCTGCGGAACTTACAGCCGGGTGATGGATCAAAGGCATAACACTGGACCCATGTGAAATGAGTTAACCTATATGGAATTGTAGAATCTTACAGCACTGAAGGAGGTTAATTCTGAATGATCAGCAAGGGATGGGCAATAAATGCTAACCTAGCCAGAGACAGTGGCATCCCATGAACAAGTAATTTTTTTTTAAAATCAACAAATTGATTCAATGACAAGAGATTTTACAAGGTAAATAGAAACTGCTTTCACTTTTCAGTAGAGTTGTACATATAAATGGAGAGACTATATGAATTTTACTCATGTGTAGGTTGTTTATCATCATATGTACACCAACAATGGTGGATCCAGAAATGGTGTACATATGATGATAAGCAACCTACACGAGTAAAATTCGTATTTGGGTTCACCAGAATGGTCCCAGGAACGAGAAGCTTAACATATGAGGAACATTTGAGGTCTCTGGGGCTATTCTCATTGGAATTTAAAAGGATGACGGGGGGATCTAATTGAAACTTACAGAATACTGAATGGCCTGGACAGAGTGGATGTTGGGAAGATGCTTCCTTTAGTAAGAGAGACTAGGACCCGAGGGCACAGCTTTAGAGTAAAGGGAAGACCTTTTACAACGGAGACAAGGAGAAATGTCTTCAGCCAGAAAGTGGTGAATCTATGGAATTCACTGCCACAGAAGGCTGTAGAGGCCAGGTCATTGAGTACATTTAAGACTGAGATAGATAGGTTTTTGATTATCAAGGGGATCAAGGGTTACGGGGAGAAGGTGGGAGAATGGGGTTGAGGAACTTATCAGCCATGATCGAATCGTGGAACAGACTCAATGGGCCAAATGACCTAATTTCTGCTCCTATGTCTTATGGTCTTATATTAGCTTCCCAAGAAACATTTAAAAAGTTAAGGAGGAAACTTCTCAGGGTAATTGTTACAGTAGATGAATGCAGCCAAGCAGACTACTCTTTCAGGGAAGTGGCACAGTGATGACGAGAGAAATTTCCACCTAAGACTTAAAGATTTTGAGATGAAAGTTGTACATGTTCTGAAATCCTAGCATGTAAAGGACACTGAAATCTCATGGCTTACATTACCTGCTAGGTCTTTGAGCTGGTCTAATGTCGGTATAATTGGTGGATTTCTTTTCTGCAGCAGGAACAGAACCATCATGGTCAAGGAGAAGTTAGTGATCCAGCATCCAGGAACACTGCTTGTAATCCCTTGAACACGAGCCCAGCACCGAATACCAAACACGAGAGCCCGTACCCGAGGGTCAATATTAGAATAGATATAAAGGAGTTCTGTGCTTCGCATAGCTATTCTGTAGCAAAAGTGAAATAAGCAGTTTGTTAAAAACTGACTCAAAGGCAAATGCTCCGCTGGCCTGAAATGATGCCAATTATGTCAACCAGAAAACAACATTGTAATCTCATTGAAAATTGCAAAATTTTGATTAATGTGAAACAGTATGGAATTAAGCAGCCTAATATAGGATCTGTAGTATGTAATACACAATTTGATTTTGGTACTCCTCACCTATTATTAGCAGTGAGGTCACACTGAAATCCTGATGGCTGATGGGAAAACCGCACTAATGGGCAACGCGCATTGAGTATCTTCTGTATTCCTGCACAGCCTGGGGCAAACTGATCAATGCATTCGCCTATCACTGAAAGGGTGTTTTGTGTTGCTACCCGTTCTGATGCCACTCTTTTTGTTTGATATTCCATACAGAAGGCACTTCTTTTCTAAAAGCAAACAAAGTTAGTGAGCAAAGAATATCACTGATACTGACAACTTCATGGAACATGCTGGCGTGCAGCACTTCCAGCATACATCATATGGGAAATTGTTTCAAAGATAAAGGGAAAAGAGTCAGTCATTGAATTGGAAGCTTAAAATTCACAAGCACTTCCCAAAAAGTAAACAATAATTTCTAACTAACCTTAGAAAAATGATAAACTTTCATCTTAACACAATAACACATTACAATCCTTCCCTTAAAAAAAATCTGAATGCTTCACTTATTGTAAGCAATGCCATAGGAAATCTGCTATCTTTTGCACAGACTTTACGATACAATGATGGAGAAGGAAGCAGTCCTGAATAAAACTAGTGAAAACTAAAAGGATTCACACTGCTAATAAATCAGTTGTGTATTTCTAGCAATCTTTCCATTTAATGTCAACAAACTCTCTTTTCAAGATTGCTTTTCAATAAAGCCTGTGATCCTGAAAGGTGATGAGCACTAATGCTGATGAACTGCCACCTGCCTCACTAAACCTGATTAATGAGAATAGGACAAAGTCTACCTGAACTGCTTATTAAGGCTGACATTCTAAGTCTACTTTGAAATAAAACCACAAAACACATTAACAAAACCTGCAACTTTAGAAAAGAACATAAGAACTAGGAGCAGGAGTAGGCCATCCGGCCCCTCGAGCCTGCCCCGCCATTTAATAAGATCATGGCTGATCTTTTTGAGACTCAGCTCCACTTACCCGCCCACTCACCACAACCCTTAATTCGAGACAACAAGGTGCAGGGCTGGATGAACACAGCAGGCCAAGCAGCATCATAGGAGCAGAGAGGCTGACGTTTCGGGCCTAGACCCTTCATCAGAAAAGGGGGAGGGGAAGGGGGTTCTGAAATAGGGAGAGAGTGGGAGGCGGATAGAAGAGGGATAGAGGAGAGGATAGGTGGAGAGGAAACAAACAGGTCGAAGAGGCGGGGATGGAGCCAGTAAAGGTGAGTGTAGGTAGGGAGTTAGGAAGGGGATAAGTCAGTCCAGGGAGGACGGACAGGTCAAGGGGGCGGGATGAGGTTGGTCGGTAGGAGATGGAGGTGCGGCTTGAGGTGGGAGGAGGGGATAGGTGGGAGGAAGAACAGGTTAGGGAGGCAGGGACGAGCTGGACTGGTTTTGGGATGCGGTAGGGGGAGGGGAGATTTTGAAACTTGTGAAATCCACATTGATACCATTGGGCTGCAGGGTTCCCAAGCAGAATATGAGTTGCTGTTCCTGCAACCTTCGGGTGGCATCGTTGTGGCACTGCAGGAGGCCCAGGATGGACATGTCGTCTGAGGAATGGGAGGGGGAGTTGAAATGGTTCGCGACTGGGAGGTGCAGTTGTTTGTTGCGAACCGAGCGTAGGTGTTCTGCAAAGCGGTCCCCGAGTCTCCGCTTGGTTTCCCCGATGTAGAGGAAGCCACACCGGGTACAGCGGATGCAGTATACCACATTGGCAGATGTGCAGGTGAACATCTGCTTGATGTGGAAAGTCTTCTTGGGGCCTGGGATGGGGGTGAGGGAGGAGGTATGGGGGCAGGTGTAGCACTTCCTGCGGTTGCAGGGAAAAGTGCCGGGTGTGGTGGAGCTGGAGGGGAGTGTGGAGCGGACAAGGGAGTCACGGAGAGAGTTGTCCCTCCGGAAAGCAGATAAAGGTGGGGAGGGAAAGATGTCTTTGGTGGTGGGGTCGGATTGCAGATGGCGGAAGTGTCGGAGGATGATGCGTTGGATCCGGAGGTTGGTGGGGTGGTACGTGAGGACGAGGGGGATTCTTTTTTGGTTTTTATTGCGTGGACGGGGTGTGAGGGATGAGGTGCGGGAGATGTGGGAGACACGGTTGAGGGCGTTCTCGACCACCGAGGAGGGGAAGTTACGGTCCTTGAAAAACGAGGACAACTGAGATGTACGGGAGTGGAATGCCTCATCCTGGGAGCAGATGCGGCGGAGGCGAAGGAATTGGGAATAGGGGATAGCATTTTTGCAGGAAGGTGGGTGGGAGGAGGAGTATTCTAGGTAGCTGTGGGAGTCGGTGGGCTTGAAATGAATATCGGTTTCTAGGTGGTTGCCCGATATGGAGACAGAGAGGTCCAGGAAGGGGAGAGAGGTGTTAGAGATGGTCCAGGTAAA